TGCTCACATGCACATGATCACTTTCCATTTTGCCGTGGATAGAAAGAGCGCTTGAGTTCGCGTAAGTATCCCTGTAGTGTTCGATTCGCCGAGTGAAGCAAGCACTACCATGAGCTTGATTATGGATCGAAGTCCTCTGCGTTATACGAAACCGTTGAGCCGCGCGCTATCGGTTACCGAACTGATAACTTCCGGGGGTCTATAACTTGAGAACTGTTCCCTAAGTCGTCCCTTAAGAGTAGGAATTTCGAACGCTCCTTTGGGAAAAGCTTCCACATAACTTCTCACTTGAAAGCAGTGTTATGAATTTCTAATTTTAAGGTACGCCTTGAGGGAATTATCGTAAGATTCTTACTAAGGATTCCTTCGGCTGCTCACTTAGAAGAATCCTAACAATCCTTCACCTCTTAAGTTATAAGAAGGTGCTCCTTCCTTAAGGATCTCACGCTTCTTCCTCGAGGAAGGCGTCCTGAGCCATAGGGCCAGATGCTAATTTCATTGGACCCCTTACATTAGGCAGTCTTCAAATTTAGGAACCTAACATCTAACATCAAGTTTAACGCTGTAGTAAAGCATGACTGAGTCACTCTGTGGGCACTACTGTGGCCGAGGTGTTGAGTTGACTCCAGTCTAGAGCTTACCAAGACGCAAAAAAACGTTTTGTATATGCGTGCAACCGTGTGAGGGCATAGCCAATGGCTCAAGAGCGCAACTAGCATGTATAGTACGAGGATAACCATTCTCAGCTACTGAATGAATATGCGCTGAAAAGATGAGTGGGAATGGTAGGGTCACAGTGATGCACACAGAATGCACAGCTGAAGAGACATAGAGCTCAACTAATGCTTGACTCCAGTATATAATAGCTGCCGGGAATCATGCAAAATGAGGAGCGTCACGCACCGGAAGTGCCGTCATTTGTAGTCGGCGACGCCAACTTGTGGTGACGCCAACAGCGTTGTGTCACGCCGGAGAGCAAACTAGGATGGTTTCAACGGCACAGTGACCCACGAAATAGATGAAAGGAGGGTAGCCTATGTCCTATGACCGTCATAGTATGACCTATCTGAGGGGCGGGGTATGCGAAGCTCGTGATGATGCGACGACAATCTCATTACTTACGTACGTATGATATGTGTCTCCATAGTTGTAAGTCCGATACAGCCCCAATCCATCAGTGTATAGGGCAACATACTGTACTGTAAATTCGAAAGTATACATCACCCTGGATACACTGTCTGGGCTACCCTACATTGCAGTTCCCCATATCTATTAACCATGAGGTTTAAACCGGTGTTCTTCGACAAGTACACTCCAGTCTTCCAACCACACGCCAACGGCAAGGTATAGTCATAGCGAACTATTCATTATATGGAATATCTTGGTCGATGGTTCATCTTCTAATATCCCTTAGGAGCCCGAATATGAGTTTCTTTTCAAGGAAGGTGTATCTGTGATCAAGGGGCCCGATGGACTCGACTTCCTGAAGGTGGGGAGAACCTAGGAAACGGATACGAATAGATTAATCAGCTCAATTATGATAGAAATTAATCCTAGCCAGAGATGAGGATGTCCACTTTCAGGTCGAACCCGAAGCTATTGCAAGGCTCACACAGACCTGTATCAAGGATATTGAGCATTACTTCAGAAGCGCCCACCTCGCGCAGATCCGGAAGATCCTCAAGGACCCCGAGGCTTCTGCCAACGATCGCTTCGTTGCTCTCGAGTTGCTGAAGAATGCCTGCATCTCTGCTGGTCTCGTCCTCCCTTCCTGCCAGGATACTGGTACCGCCTGCATATACGGTTACCGGGGCGATCGTGTTTTCACCGGTGGCGTTGATGAGGAGGCCATCACCAAGGGGGTCTATGATGCTTACACTCAAGACAACCTCCGTTACTCCCAGGTCGCCCCCTTAAGCATGTTCGAGGAGAAGAACACTGGTAATAACCTGCCCGCTCAGATCGAGGTCTACGCTGGTTGTCCCGGCGACGAGCTCGCTTATAACTTTCATGTCATTGCTAAGGGTGGTGGATCCGCCAATAAGTTCCAACTCTTCCAGAAAACCAAGGCCTTCCTCAAGGAGAAGGAGTTTGAGAGTTTCCTCATGAATGAGATTGCTCACTTCGGTACCTCTGCTTGCCCTCCTTATCATATCGCTGTTGTCATTGGCGGTCAGTCTGCCGACCAGACCATGAAAACTGTGAAGTTGGCATCCACTAAGTACTACGATGGTCTTCCTACCAGCGGCGATTCCACCGGCCGTGCCTTCCGTGACCTCTACTGGGAGAAGAGGCTTCTCAAGAACTGTCAGGAGCTTGGTATCGGTGCTCAGGTCGGCGGGAAGTACTTCGCTCATGACGTTCGTGTCGTCCGCCTTCCTCGTCACGGTGGATCTTGTCCTATCGGTATCGGTGTCAGCTGCTCCGCCGATCGTCAGTGCCTTGCTAAGATCACTTCTGAGGGTGTCTTCATTGAGAAGCTTGAGAAGAACCCCGCGAAGTACATGCCTGATTACGTTGGTGATGAGGAGGAGGCTGTGGAGATCGATTTAAACTTGCCGCAGGAGGAGGTTCTCGAAACCTTAAGCAAGTATCCTGTCAAGACTCGGCTGGCCCTCACTGGCACCATCATCGTTGCTCGCGATATGGCCCACGCTAGAATGATGGAGATGCTCGAGAGCGGTAGAGGTCTTCCAGACTACATCAAGAAGTATCCAGTGTACTACGCCGGCCCCGCCAAGAAGCCCGATGGAAAGCCTTCCGGATCCTTCGGACCCACTACTTCAAGCCGTATGGACCCCTATGTTGAGCTTTTTCAGGCCAACGGTGGCTCCATGATCATGATCGGTAAGGGTAACCGTAGCGATATGGTGACTGATGCTTGCAAGAAGAACGGCGGTTTTTACCTCGGCTCCATCGGTGGTGTCGCTGCCATCCTCGCCGATAAGAGCATCAAGAAGGTCGAGTGCCTCGATATGGAGGACCTCGGTATGGAGACCGTGTGGAGAATCGATGTCGTCGACTTCCCTGCTTTCGTCATTGTTGACGACAAGGGTAACGACTTCTTCAGGATGAGCAACGCTAGCGAACAGAAAATGATTATCTCCCGATGAGTTCATCAGTTCTTCAGGAGAACCCCCCTTCTATCTTGTCCTAGGTTTCACCGTTATTCATATTAGTATCTTAGTAAGAGGTTTCCTTAATGGGATATTGGTCGTGATCCAATGGTCAATAACACGGTGAGTTTCGGCTCGTATGGTGTTGAGAAGCCTGGGAAAGTACCAACTCTAAATTATTGCGCAACGTCATTCCCGGGCTTAGGTTCATAGCAACACGTCATAGTGACAATTCATATGATTTCGATGGATATTATCGGATATCGCTTCCTCTCGAATCAACTTGTACAGTCTAAACTCGTGGCTGTTGATAAGATTTAGGGAACTTTTGCGTACACGTTACGGACGACGATGAATGGAAATTCAAGCTCGACCTCGACCTGTTGAAGTCGTAGTTGTATTTGGGTGAAGAATCGGATGTTGCCCGCGTGGTCACCATTCGTGTTTTCTTACATCAGGCGGGTCCGATGTATATTGAATACACCTTGCAAAGGCCTATCTCCCTTGGAGCCATTTTATCGGGAGGGGCGCCTATGCCTCAAGATGACATAGCTCCAAGATATGTCTCACCATAATCAGTTTTGTAGGAGCACGCGGTAGGAGGATCAATTCCGACTGCGCCTCATAGGTGACTCGAATTGCGGAAATCAGTTCTGGAACCAGTTAGCTCGATTTCGTTTGGGGCAGATATGCCATACCTTAGCGCCGCCTATGTTGCAACCATCATGGCAATCCGAGATGCTCACAGAACTTCTCGCCTCCAAAAGGCGGCAGCGGTCACACCGCATTGGAATTATAGAATGGCATATACGCCTCAAGCCAGATCGCCCTCACGATTCGTGAGTCGCGATTGCTGAAGTTGAATTTACTTTAACCGCGCGGTCGAAATTGATTTCTCCATCGCGTGCTCTCGCGAAACTGGTCGTAGTAAGGCATATCTTGGGGCTATGGCATAAGCCAGAAAGACCCTTGAAAGTGTAGATAGAATAGACCATACTTTGTGCTCTCCACCCGTAAGAGTTTACCTGGTGAATTCCGCCCGCGACCGCGCGATGAGCGGTACGTATTAGAAGGATGAAGTCCTATTGCCATGGGGAGCCGTGAATGGCCCTAGAGATTCAACTTCTACAAGGTTGATGTCAGGGCAGAGTGTCTAAGCTTTTGATTCAGAAGCGCGGTTCTCGATGCGATGAGACTAGTATTTGAATTATAAACTGAATCGGAGACCTTTACTGGGCATTCCGGATGTGTCAGTCATTGATTGACTATACTACGATCTCGCCTGGAGGAAAGTCTCTCTCGTATTGTCGTCGAGTGTTTGCTCCTTTGCAGCCCTTACGTGGGATCCGGTATTCTGTTCAGCTCGATCTGATCGATAAGTTACGTTCAGCATCGATTATTTGAAAGTGTGAGATTTCTCCCAGTTCGCACCCATAGTGGAGGATACCTCCACCTTGACTGCTCACGTTATATGTCATGATGGGTATTCTTATGGCATTTCTGTTTGAACAAATAGGGATTCCTGTTCAGGCGTGCGGCACGCGTGCACACTCATGTGGTAACTTAGCGAGCTTAACTTGCCGTTGCCTGCCTCTCCACCGTTCATTCGTAGTGGTCGACGGCGGGACTCTAACTCGTCTTACTGGGGTGTGGGAGGCACTACCGCTGCAAGTGAGAACTTGATAGGTGAGATTCATGTATCCCGTATTGTACAATCTATCTGGGGGAACCTGCAAACCGGAATGATAAAACAGTTGTCCGACTACGAACGTAGACTATACCGCACGTCCTTTATTAGCAATGGACCACCGTGTTATTGACGAGGGCAGATCGTCCCAAATGTATTGCCTGAATGTTCTCTACAGTTGCCGTGTGTTGATAACCATGAGCTCTCAACCGTTATTCTTCGATAAGTACACCCCACTCTTTCAGCCACACGCCAACGGCAAGGTATGGCTCTCGTGGACTCTTGGTCGATGTCTCATGCCCTAATATCGCTCAGGAGCCCGAATACGAGCTCCTCTTCAAGGAAGGTGTATCCGTGGTCAAGGGGCCCGATGAACTTGACTTCCTGAAGGTGGGAAGGAGGCTTAGGCGACCGATCGTGATACTAATCAGTTGAATTGCCTTATAACTTGATCTCCCCATGGATGGAGGTTGTTTACGCTTAGGTTGAACCCGAAGCTATTGCCAAGCTCACACAGACCTGTATCAGAGACATCGAGCATTACTTCCGGAGTGCTCATCTCGCGCAGATCCAGAAAATTCTCAAGGACCCTGAAGCTTCTGCCAATGATCGCTTCGTTGCCCTCGAGCTTTTGAAGAATGCATGCGTCTCTGCTGGTCTTGTTCTCCCTTCCTGCCAGGACACCGGTACCGCATGTGTCTACGGCTATAGAGGCGAACGTGTTCTCACTGGTGGTCTTGACGGGCAGGCTATCACCAAGGGCATTTATAACGCTTATAATCAAGACAACCTCCGTTACTCCCAGGTCGCCCCCTTGAGCATGTTCGAGGAGAAAAACACTGGCAATAACCTGCCAGGTCAGATCGAACTTTACGCCGGTCACCCTGGCGATGAGCTCGCTTATAAATTCCATGTTATTGCCAAGGGTGGTGGATCCGCCAACAAGTTCGAGCTCTTCCAGAAGACCAAGGCCTTCCTCAAAGAGAAGGAGTTTGAGAGTTTCCTCATGAAGGAGATCGCTCACTTCGGCACCTCTGCTTGCCCTCCTTATCATATTGCTATTGTCATTGGCGGTCAGTCTGCTGACCAAACTCTGAAGGTTGCTAAGTTGGTATCCACTAAGTACTACGATGGTCTTCCTACCAGCGGTGATTCCACCGGTCGTGCCTTTCGTGATCTCTACTGGGAGGAGAGGCTCCTCAAAAACTGTCAGAAGCTTGGTATCGGTGCTCAGTTCGGCGGTAAGTACTTCGCACACGACGTTCGTGTCGTCGTCTCCCTCGTCACGGTGCTCCTGCCCAGTCGGCATGGGCGTCAGCTGCTCGGCTGATCGTCAGTGCCTCGCTAAGATCACCCTGAGGGTGTCTCATTGAGAAACTCGAGAAGATCCCGCCAAGTACATGCCTGATTTCGTTGGTGATGAAGGTGAGGCCGTGAAGATCGATTTGAACTTGCCCCAGAAAGAGGCTCTCGCTACCTTGAGCAAGTACCCTGTCAAGACTCGGCTGGCCCTCACTGGTACCATCATCGTTGCTCGTGATATCGCTCATGCCAAAATGATGGAGATGCTCGAGAGCGGTAAAGGTCTCCCCGACTACATCAAGAAGTATCCCGTGTACTACGCGGGCCCCGCCAAGAAGCCCGATGGAAAGCCTTCCGGTTCCTTCGGACCCACTACTTCCAACCGTATGGACCCCTATGTTGAGCCTTTCCAATCCAACGGTGGTTCCATGATCATGATCGGTAAGGGTAACCGTAGCGATATGGTGACTGATGCTTGCAAGAAGAACGGTGGTTTCTATCTCGGCTCCATCGGTGGTGTCGCTGCCATCCTCGCCGATAAGAGCATCAAGAAGGTCGAGTGCCTCGATATGGAGGAGCTCGGTATGGAAGCCGTGTGGAAAATCGATGTCGTGGACTTCCCTGCCTTCACCATTGTCGACGATAAGGGTAACGACTTCTTCAAGATGGGAAACGCAAGCGAGCAGAAGATGAATTTCTCGCACTAAACCTTTGGTCCATTCTTTCTGGATCCTGGCTCTCGATTCTCCCGCCGTCGCTGTACTTTGCTTCAACGGATTGTCATCAACCTCATATCGAGTGGTTGTCCATATTCTATAGCATTCATAGGTCCCGATTTACAATGTTGATGGCATACTTCGTTGACAATGGTTCATCATCTAGCTATCATGTTTGAGAGTTTTCTTTTCATTAGTATTTTCGTTACTAGTCGGACGTCAAGAGGGACGATACCATCGACGCACACGTATACCGAATGCATTGCGAGACGAGGGATTTGCTGCTGTCGATTGGCACTGCGATCCTCCATCATTAGAAACCTCCGCATCAATCGTGCTCATTAGAAAACTCGAGAGTGGATTGATGGGCGGAACAGCAAATATCGCAGAATGTACGCTCTATGCACACACGTCTAAGACGTGTACACTTCCGACATCACAGTGAGAACAACGCCGTTCCCTTCTGCACTAAGGAGCTTGGAGACTGTGATTGTCGCAAGTGCCACCAGCGTGAAGGACAGCGTGAATAACACGATAATACTTCAAACCGCAGGGGTAACGGTGCTAGCTCTTGGTAGATTATCGACTTGGTACTCGGGCTGGATCGAGCTACATCGTGGTCTACTTCCTTCTCAGTAGAAGCGATTTTTCCAGTGGGGCAGCTATGCCACCAGCCAGCCGTCCCGAGGATAGATCGAGCCTTGCTACAATCGATTCCGCAGACGCACGAGGTTTCCGATACCAATGGCTATCTTAGGCTACTCGAGGCTGGGTATATGAGTGTAACAGAGATTAGGATCTGCGGGAACGATTCTAGTCGGTAGAACTCAATGTTCTCTCTCGGAGAGAAAGCAGTATTGATGGCTTGTTCATACGCAAGTGAACATCTAAGGCGTAGAATTGTATGTACTCCGACGACCTGTCCTCTATGTCGAGCTTGATAGATCTCACCGTATTGTCGTCCTCTCCCCATAACGATGGAGGGGCCAAAGACTAAGAACAAAAAACCCAAGCCTAAATCAGTAGCGAGACGGAAAGTGTTTAGGAATGGTCATAAATAACTCCTAGGCCGTAGGGATGAATTCGGTGGTTGGGATCGGAGGCAAACAGCGTCGGTCGCCGCATCCAAGGCACGGTGGCCAGGTATCTCTCGGAACGATCTCGTACTGGAGGTATATCTAACAGAACTATGAGGAACTCCTGAGAGGAGCGACGAACTATCACCGGTAGGCTTTCGATACGTAGCTTTCCTTGAGGAAAGCAGGAGAACTAGACACTGAATGCAATCGCTTGAAGGCTTGGCTGTCCGGGTCAAAGCCGTAGAGTGCTCTGAAAACCAGAAAAGATCATCGACAGGGCCGCATCGTCAGAAGAATTGTCAGGTTTGATCTCGAGAAGATGGGGGACGAGTGAGGGATTTCAAGCCTGCCGACCGGAAGTACCAACGGAACCTCACCTATAAACCTGGCGACCGCTGATTTCGCCTTTAAATAATATGACAAGTTTCTTGAACTCGTCGGTGACCGCGCCCAATACTGCTTCCCTGTTCTTCTTGTTCACAGTACCACCAAGCAAAGCCTTGAGATGAAACAACAATGGAGCGTTAGTGACTTGGCTGGTCTCTCACCCAAGTGATGGCATTGATAACGATCTTTCTGTTGTCCCCCAAATTTGTGGTTCGCAAATTCGTACCAGTTCCGCGAATCGAAGAAGTGCGTCTCTCAAACGACGCCGAGGAGGACGAACGTCTGAGGTTCGTGGATAGAATGACATCGTTATGGGATTACTTGGAGCCCCGAGATAGCCAGGTTGATTGCCCTTCCGATGACGTCAGCGTTCTCGAGTTACGCATTGGGGATAATCGTGAAGGGGACGGGACGGTCTGAGAGTTAGATTGAAGTCCGGCTGACGATAGTCCCCAGTCCATTCGAGATTGAGCATTCATCAACCCTCGAAAAGAGTCCTCGCTATACTCACCGCTGAGCTTGGCCTGATACGCATCGGAGAGCCCCGCTGCTCAGCTTCTTGTCGTTTCCGCGCCAGGAGGTTCTCCCGGATTCGCTTCGATGTAGGACTGTCGAAGTTGTTGATCTCTGGGTCCAGCTCGACGAGCACTCCTCCTCTCGTTCGATATCCCACATAATCATCAGCCACTTCCTCCCGACCCGAAGTGTCTTCTTCCGTGACGACCCCCAGTAAGTTCGTAACAGCATCCGGATCACACGGCGCAGCTATAGAACTATCGCTCCCATTCATTTCCTCTGACGTTCTTTGCAATTCCTCGAGAACCAGTCCACGGAGTCTTCGACTCTCTTCCATTCGCAACTTCAGCTCCGTCCTCTCCCGCCACATTTCGGCAGCAATGAAATCTCGTATATCGGAAGCCTGGCGACGTTTCCTGATGACCTCTGTACAGAGTTCGTAGGGACTGTAAGGAGGGAGATCATTATCGACAGTAACCCTCGCCAACATGCGATGAGCTTACTTGATGTCACTTGAGGCTCGGTCAGCTGATGCTTCTCGAGTTGAAATCTCCGGTAGCTCTACTCCGCGGAGAGCAGGGGAGTTGCCCCGCGGGTCAAAGGAATCTGAGGAGATCTGACCACTGCCGGGACCAATGGAGTTCACCCCTTATATGCCAGCCAGTGACTGACTGAGCTATGGTGCCATATCCATCGTCTACTGCTTCCTTCCCGCCTTCTCGCGATACTTCCTGCTGCCTCGCATCCCCGTTTTGATATGCTTCATCCATCACAGATTCGCCAAGATCTCTCGACCCTTCCGAATATCCATTGTTATGACCAGCGGTACCCCATCGATTAACAGACGTCTCAACAGGCCCAGATCCATCCTTGCTATCATCCCAAGTAGGGGTCCGATCCCCCTCCCCCTGAGCGTCCCGTGCTGTGCGACTCGAGTTTGAGACACCATCACTATACTGTTCCTCCTCTTCATCCGCCCCGGGTTCGTGATAACTGTATTTCGAGAGATGCTCGCTTTCCGTCCCGTTTCTGTTTCTGATATATTCCGCATCAACAGTCTCATACAGCTCGACAGAGACTTCACTCTCTCGCTCTTCTTCTCCCTCGGATCGTGGGTACTGTAACAGCTGCCCGTACTCATCGTGCTCGACCGGGGAGTACGCGCGCCGATAGCTGAGCCGATCATACAACTCATCAGCATCAGTAACCTGGCTATTGAGATATCTCCCGAAAGACGTGGCCCCTTCGACCCCACTCGTTCTACCGACACCGTGGTTGTGTCGAACGTATCCACTATCAGATCTTTCCTCCGTGTAAGTATCGTAAGTGCCTCGGACACCGCGAAACTGCAAGTTCGATCTCTGGTCAAAAATAGAGGAATCTCCCTCACGAAGTAATGAGGTGCCATTACTGCTCCTATGATAGCTCTCTGCTCGGGCCTTGGTGAAATCCTGCCCCCCTGATGGCCACTCGGGCTCTGTAGGTCGCTGCTCGTCGTAACCGCCCCGATTGAGCTGGTACTTCACCTCATACTCAGACTCCTCTTCCTCACCGCTACCGTTCCAGGCGGTCACGTCGCTATCGGAGCCCCCGGCGGAAGAGACACCATTTTCATGGCTATGTAGACCGTCCTCCTTCCCATAGCTCTCACTGTCATCCTCTTCTTCTCCCGTTATGACTTCATCGTAGTACATAGGTCGGGATGCAGATCTCTCTCGTTCTCTGGCATAGTAGTAAGTGCTCGAGCCCTCACTATCATCGCCACAGTCGTCGTACTCCTTCGCCGTTCCGTCATAGGATTGTGAGCCACTCCCGTGCGGATTCGAATAACCACAACGGAGGCATTGGTCATTCCTAAGAAAGCTTATGGGTGTCTCTCGCACCTGCTCTGTCGGCCGCTGCTCGAGTGGTCGGCAACTACGATGCTCAATAGTAATGGTTTCGATTAAGTTCTCAGTGCTAGGGTGCCGTTCAAAACTATACCAACTTTCCCCCAACCTCCTCCGCTGAAATGCCCCCTCAGCTTCCTCTGATGACAGCTCCTCAGATTGACGAGCGTCGTCATGACCATCGGCCTCTCCGATGGGCTCAATACTGTTTCCATTGCGATGAGACAGTGAATCACCAGATCCTGAATCGATACGGGTGGCCTCCGAGAGGGGAGTAGCATAGGTATCTTCTGCTTCCACTGGCAGACTTGATGACCGCGGAGGCGACCTTCTATCGACGGACCACTGGCCACTAGCAAATTCATCAGCACTAGGTACTACAACGAGCATTCAGGATTAACAAGGAATTCAGTGATAGCGATTACCGGAGGAAAGTATACTGGTTGACACGTGCGGCTCCGACCGGGCCCATCCGTCACTCAACCTGATACGGATGATATTGAGTTAAGCTGGTTTATCACGTCTCTGTGCAAGAGTAAGGCCAACTCTTATATGGCCCCTTACCTGCTCCCTCGCCCCGAATCGCTCATCCTTGCTGGAGACTGATGCGATACAGAAGTTCCTAAAACACCCAAGAGAGCTTTCATTCGATGGAGGATAGAGATGCCTACTTGATCCGTTATCAGAGTAACGATTGCTTGCGATCTCATCCAAAGCCCGCCTCTGCTGTCTTATCTGTCTCAACCGCTCCGAAAGGGATTTCATACGATCAGTATTAGTGGATGCCATTCTTCATTCGAATTTCTGCGACTCTAAAGCCTCGGCAGACACGGTATTGATATCAACTGAATGCTGAGAGCATCTTTCTTGATTATGTCAACGTATTGAAGAACACTTCGAGTCAGCCCCCTAAGAGCCATCCTAGGCAGATCTTTTCGTGCCACGGTTCAACACTGAGGGCGCCCACAACCTCCTAGACTATTACTAATTAACAGAACAAGATCATTAGAATAAATTGATCATGAATATATCACAGTGACAATGAACAGCAAAGCATGGCATGTCATAAGACGACTGATTACTGTCTGACACCCACAGGGACCACGTCCCATGGTTTCGCCCCTCTGTGGACTGCCGAGCAAATGTCTCGAGCAGCCGAAGAATTGCACGGTATACTATTCGAGCCTCGAGGTGTGAGCATTGGCTGAGGTACCTGATGGACTCGATGGTTATCAAGTAGACGTCAGAGATGCGCCAACCGGAAAACGACTCCCCCGT